GTGAATGAAAAATAGCAATTGAATGTATGTTAGTGAGATTTTGGTGTTCTAGATTAAATCTTTGTAGGAATATTCCACAATCTTTTCCAACTTGGCCCAAATCTAAAATTGAGGAACTATAACTTATTTTTTTTAGCATAAATCTCTAAAGCTTCTCTATTGTTTAAGTTTACTTTGATTGCACAGTGTGTTATGTTTTTTACTCTTATTTATAACAGGGTTATTAAAAATTGAAAGTAGACATTTCCATACAATGACACTGATATTTTTGAGTTCTTGTTTTGATTCCACAGCTTTATGCTGTAAGGTTATCCACAGTATTTTGATTTTGCACTCCACCCCCATGACTTCTGCAAAACATTTGGTAATTTTAGTAATTTAGGGGTACTTATTTTTCAAGCTGACATTTATTCTTTAGAGTGTTGCCTTTCAAAGTTGTTGTCTTAACCTTGATATTTAAGTTTTGCTTTTGATTGCACATTTTTATTCTGCTTTTGATTTTGCATTCCTACTCGACATCCTCAGGTCATTTTGAGTTGTTTTTTTATGCATATATTCTCAGGCCACTGATCTTTCAAGTTAACATTCTCTATTTTTGCTGCTTTTCAAAGTTGTTGTCTGAACCTTTATATTTGAGTTTTGCTGTTTATTATACAGCTTATTGTTGCTTTTGATTTTGCACCCATCATATTTGCACACAATTTTAATTGTATCCCTCAGACTTATATTTATCCTTCTAGATATTGCCTTTAAAAAGTTTTTGTATGAACATTTAAAATTAAAAATAAATAATTATTGAATAACTGTGGAGTTGCTTTTTGGGAAGAGTGCAACCTCAGCTGGATGGTGATGGTGGTGGGATTAAGGGAAGCTGCATTCTCCCCTTGGGCAGCAAAGATCCTAGAGCCAGCTCTGCCAGTACTTTAAACTAACATTTAGACAGAGCTACTTTTACTTATTGGAGTAATATTTGACCATAAAATCTGTACTTTTACTCAAGTAATGAAACTTTTTTCTACCATATATTTTAGATTAGGTACATTGAGTTTGCTACAATATTGCAACCTCAACAGCTTCATCAGTAAGTAAGAGCATTTAGATTTTTTATTTTTTGCACAGAAAAGATTTGTACATATATATTTGAAAAACATTCCCTTTTCGCTAATTTCTAGTGCAAAATATAAGTGGCTACATGTTAGATGTGTTTAAACCTAATTTTATGTTTAGAAAACGTCAAGGGATAAGAAAATTCAACTTTTTGTCCATCAGTCTGTGGACCATTATCAAGTTTTCTTGTGCTTTTTTAATGAACAATATTAGTAAAACATGGTTTTAGTTACGCTGTGATTTAAAAAATCTTAGGTACTTATTAAAAAATAAATTAAGACAAATTGTTCAGAGAGACATCAACCTGCAGCTACCAGCACATCAAGCCTGGGAAAGTTTATCTGAAGATAACCAGTCACACTGGATCATTTTAAGAGTTTTACAATCCAAAACACTTGGTCCTTTCTCAGTCAGGTTAAGGTAGAGTTAGTAAAATCATAGTAAAATGTAACCAGAGGTCCTTCCCCTGCTTCATACGCCTGATTTCAATAATAAATGATTAACTTTCACTGGGCTGTAATTGTCTGAATCGGTTGTAAAACATGCAGGGAAGTGTGTTTTAAGGACTAGATTTACAAAAAAAAACATCTGTAATCTTTGTTTAAGAAACACTTAAGATGGAAACCTCCTTTCATAAAGATTGACTGGTTTTGTTGTATTTTTTTTTAAACGTAGGTTATATATATGCAAATGCCTTCCGTATTCATACACTACCNAATCTGTACTTTTACTCAAGTAATGAAACTTTTTTCTACCATATATTTTAGATTAGGTACATTGAGTTTGCTACAATATTGCAACCTCAACAGCTTCATCAGTAAGTAAGAGCATTTAGATTTTTTATTTTTTGCACAGAAAAGATTTGTACATATATATTTGAAAAACATTCCCTTTTCGCTAATTTCTAGTGCAAAATATAAGTGGCTACATGTTAGATGTGTTTAAACCTAATTTTATGTTTAGAAAACGTCAAGGGATAAGAAAATTCAACTTTTTGTCCATCAGTCTGTGGACCATTATCAAGTTTTCTTGTGCTTTTTTAATGAACAATATTAGTAAAACATGGTTTTAGTTACGCTGTGATTTAAAAAATCTTAGGTACTTATTAAAAAATAAATTAAGACAAATTGTTCAGAGAGACATCAACCTGCAGCTACCAGCACATCAAGCCTGGGAAAGTTTATCTGAAGATAACCAGTCACACTGGATCATTTTAAGAGTTTTACAATCCAAAACACTTGGTCCTTTCTCAGTCAGGTTAAGGTAGAGTTAGTAAAATCATAGTAAAATGTAACCAGAGGTCCTTCCCCTGCTTCATACGCCTGATTTCAATAATAAATGATTAACTTTCACTGGGCTGTAATTGTCTGAATCGGTTGTAAAACATGCAGGGAAGTGTGTTTTAAGGACTAGATTTACAAAAAAAAACATCTGTAATCTTTGTTTAAGAAACACTTAAGATGGAAACCTCCTTTCATAAAGATTGACTGGTTTTGTTGTATTTTTTTTTAAACGTAGGTTATATATATGCAAATGCCTTCCGTATTCATACACTACCGCTTCTTCTTTCTGTTATGACTTTAACCACACCATGATGCCAGATGCAGCTAATCTCTGTTTACTTTTCCTGATTTTCAAGTTTGGAGAATCTCCTCTGAAAGGTGAGAAATATATTTATGCTTTATTAATACAGTAACTGTCATGCTTTCCCCCCCCAATATTCAGTCTGCTACTATAGTCATGCATCCATCCTTTCATTATTACAATTTCTCCAGTCTTGGCAACAATTAATAAAATCTAAAAAATGTAATTATCAACAAATTAATATGATACCCTGAGGTGTGAATTTCCATCAGAAGCCTTGTTAACCATTAAGATAGCTGTACTGTTTGAAATAAAGCTGGCATAGTGCCAACAATGCTGTCAGCTTTATGGGTGGAGAGTAGATTAAAATGTAACAGAAGTACATTTCTAAAACATCTCTAACATTTATTTTATTGCAGCTACTTTTTACATAGGAATATCAGGGCAGTTTTAGCACTACAAGCTTTGTTGTTCTGTCGATATTATCTATCTACCTACCTACTACCTATCTAACTACTGCAAACCTGAATCTACTTCTCCTTTCACAATTTGCAAAAAATATTAAACAGAAAGGTTCTGTTTGTAACATGACGATCTATGTGAAGTGCAAAGAGTGTGAATACAAAAGTAAAACAAAAAAGTCTTGGTTACACTCTGAATAAATAACATTAAGCTGAAAAACTGTTCAGGGAAGTAGTCTGCTACTGAGTATTGTACAATGAATTCAAATTGCAGTTTTGGTGCCGCATGAATTGGTTTAAATGTTTCTAAAACTGGGCTGCACAATGGGGCAGTTTGTGCAAGAAGGTTCTGGGTTCAATTCCTGGTCCAAGGGTTCTCTGCATGGAGTTTGCATATAAGTGCTGTATAAATTACGCGAGCTTGGCGTTTTCTCAAACGTTGTGAAATTCCTCTCAGAGAACACAGAGAGGAAATGAAAATGGTACATTACATAGAGTAAACCAGATATATTTTCA